CGTCCGCTATCGGCCGTTGTCGAGGAGCGGGGCTAGGTTTTTTGGCCAACTGCTGAAATTGGAGAGTCTTCTCTCTAGCGGTCATCTCCCTACGAGTTAGGGTTTCGTTTCTTCCGCTTTTGTCATCGAGGAAGAGCGGTCGTCGATCGATTTCGATCGTGCAAGCAGGCTCGGGACAAGGGATGTTGCGCTTTGACAGCCAGAGCTCGACTTCTGCTGTTGTTTCTGATCGGAGGTCGAGTGTTGACAAAGAAAAATGGATAAGCTGTGGCGGAGTATGATTTCGATTGAGCAACAAGGGATGTCAAAGGAGGATATCGTCATTCAATACAAAAGCATGACTATTGAGGCGGATGAGCGGCAGGCGCGTCCCCCTCCTGAACCGCCGCCATGGAGTGCAAGCAAGTCTAGGTTTTGGAAGAAGATGAGTGAACTCTATTTTAATTCCGTTTTATTCTATTTGTGTTTTTCTTTCGAATTGCATGTTGTTTTGGACGTGTTCTTATTTCTTAGCAGAGAGATTCTAGATTTTAAGTCAGGTGATGAGAAGTCTGGTTTGCTAGTCATTGGCTCAGTTAAGCTCATTACAAGATCAACGAATATTATTGCTTATACAGAGGTGATATATTCTAAGTCTGGTTCGAGGGCGGACAGCAGACATAAGGCTTTTTATCCCTTTGTTTACTTCCTTTTCTTTGATTGTATTATCAGTCATGTGATGAACATTATTTTGATTAAATATAGGGAAAAGGGGCAAATAAGCCCTCAAACTAACAAAAAAAATGCAAATAAGCCCTTATATAGGAGGTCCTGTACGGCCGTCGCCATTTGGGGAGGTTCCCGGTGAATATTTTTTGATGAAATTTTTTTAACATCTTCTTCATTAAGTCTAGTTTAGTCATACCAAATTTTAGCTAAAAATTCAATCGGGAAAGCAGTCAAATGAATTTTTTATGATAACTACGCAGTTAAACAGCGCATTATATTTCAGAAAATCATATGACTGCCTTCCCGGTTGAATTTTTAGCTGATATTTGGTATGACTAAACTAGACTTAATGAAGAAGATGCTCAAAAAAATTCATCAAAAAATTCCACCGGGAACCTCTTCAAATGACGACGGCCGGACAGAGCCTCCTATATAAGTGCTTATTTGCACTTTTTTTGTTAGTTCAAGTGCTTATTTACACTTTTTTGGTTAGTTCGAGGGTTTATTTGCCTCTTTTCCTTTTAATATATTTGTTGGATTTGATGATTAAAAAAAACTTGGTGCTTTGGTTCACTTCAGGTCCCACTTTTTTTGACAAAATTTCCGTTCTTACTAGGTATTATGTTATTAATTAACTCACTTTCACATTTTATTATTGTACTCTGTAATTCCGTATTCAAGTTTTCCAAACTTGTCGGTTTTTGCTTTAAAACTCTTATTTTTCACCTTAAAAAAAAAACTCTTATTTTTCACCGTATTTCTGCTGAATTACATCTAATCTAATGTACTACGGAGTACGTATTAAATAAGGACATATGTACGTTATTTATTAGGAAAAATTGAAAATAATAATCCCAACTATTGCCGGTCCGCTGATAATAATCTCAACTATTGATTATTTTTGTATAATCCCAACTATATGGATCGTCCGCCAATAATGGTCCATGGTCATATATTACCTCCTATAAAAAGTGAATTTTAAATAGAAATTAAGTGTAAAAATTAAAAGTTGAGATTATTTATAGGTATTACTTGCTATATCACTCCTCATCCACTTTAGAAACTACATGAATTTATTTATATGGACCACTATTGGCGGAAGGTCCTTAAAGTTGGGATTATTCTAAAATAATCAACAGTTGGGATTATTATGGGCGGACCACCAATAGTTGGGATTATTCCTATCAATTTTTCCTTTTTATTATTGATGAAAAAGGTATGAAAGAAAAAAGAAAATATGACAGTAATATGAAAGTAGAATAAAAAGAATAAACACAGGTAAAGTAGAAATTAAAAAATTAAGTTACTAAAATAGAAAACTGAATAAAAAAGAAAAGGGGAGCTCAATGGTGCCTACACGTTACGAGAGGTTTTGGTACATACACAAGAGCTGGACAAATAAAAACATGACACGCCATTTAGTGATGCAACGTCATTTTAATTAACAAAATGCTAAGGAAAACGCCAAGTATTTACAATTTAATCCTTTTATTTTTTAACTACATCCTCTACTTTACTTGTTTTTCAATCGGCTATGCTTATTCTCTTTTATTTTGTTCCCATGTACGGAGTGGAGTATCTTATTCTTTTCTACGGAGAATTTTCCTTGGATTTTATCATTCTTTACTAATTCTCTTATTTTTTCCCAATTTGTTTTACTTCTTAGCGGTCAACATCTTCTCCTTCTCTTTAACATTTCCCTCTGTCAATTCTTCATCTTCTCCCTTTGCTTTATTTTTCTTGAATGGCTTAGATTTATAAAAATTGGATACAAAAAATTGGATATCAAAATGTTCTTTATTAAAATTGATTTCATAAAAGTATAAAATTTATAACATAGTATAAAATTTAAGATTTTTTTGTTACTCCAGGGGGGTCTGGGGGAGGGGGCTGGGGGGAGCATGGAGTAATCAGGGCTGAAACTCATTCCATTGAGTTTCAAACCCTTATGTGCCTTGTGGGTTTCGAACTCGAGACCTCTCGCTAGGCACAATAACCTCACACTCAGCTGGGTTGGAATGATTGGTTGTATAAATTTATATATTTTAAGATTTGGCCAAGTATTTTTGGACGGAGGTAGTATTATAAAAAAGTGCATTTTTATTTCTAATTTTTTTTAGAAGTGCATCATTAGAAAAAAGTATTACTATGTAGACTGTAGTATACATTTTAACAATAATTGTAGTAATTGTAGTTGTTGTACTAACAATAAAAATAACAAATAATGATTATTATTTAGTACGCCCTCCATATTTAAAAGAGCACTATGTCAGATCTAGTCACAATATTTAAGGGAGAAATATATAGTAGGAGTAATGAACCGTGTAGAAATAGGAGAGAACGAGAAAAGGTAGATAAAAGAAGATAAAAAGTACAGAAGTAAGGGTAACTGAGTATTTTTAAAAGACAAACTTACCAATAAGTAAATGTGTAGCAACTTTCAAATACATCCCAAATAAGAAAGTGTAGCAAACTTTTAAATACGAAGGGAGTATTCTTTATCATAATACTTCGATATTACAAATTATGGTTATAAGAATATATACTGAAGTGATTAGTTATGATTTATTATTAAGTGTGACGATTCTATTATTCATGCACGTTAAGGTGTGTGTGTATATATATATATATATATAGAGAGAGAGAGAGAGAATATTAGTTATCATATTTATACTAAAATATTGATAAAATATAATTTATGTCTCTGACTAGTCCCAACATAGGCGCTTTCATAGCCATCTAGGTGATGGGCTGACGCTCAACTAGCACCTAACACTTTTTAGAGGATTGATCATGACCATACTGAGAAGCTCAGTAAAATTTCCAGAGCTCGTTTAGAGCCCGTTTGGTGATCCATTTTTTCGGCTTATCAGGCTTATTAGTCAGCTTTTTCACCAAACACGTAATTTTTAATTTCGCGCGTTGAATAGTGTAATATGCAGAAAAAGTAAGGTGAGAGTTACTTTTCTGGCCGTATTGGCTGAATTTACTGTAGATGATCATCTTAGCTATTTTCCATATAATTTTTTATTTTATTTATTAATAACAAATATTTGAATATAATTTTTTCATCAATCAGCAGAATCAACCAATACAGTCACTTCAGCTAGAACTTCATAAATTTTAGCAGAATCAGTCAATACAGCCAATTTTAGTGTTACCAAACGGACTCTTAGTAATACTAAAATCAACTGAATCGGCTGATTCTGCTTAAATTTATAAATTTCTAGCTGCAGTGACTGGATTATCCGATTATGCTGATTTATAAAAAAAAATATAAAATATACTTTATTAATATATGTATATATTATAAAATAGCTAAAATAGTTTTCTACAGTAAAACAAAATTGACCCGCACGGGTAGCTCAGCTGGTCGAGTGGTGGGAAAATTGGAACTATGACCAAGGTTCGAATCCATGCAGCGACCGGGTGGAGGTCACAAAACCTGAAATAAGGCTGGGCCTCTGGTGCGCACGGGTAAAGGCCTACTGACACTCTGCTGACTGAGTCACCGTGACTTACATCCTCCCTGTGCTCTGTCGGGTCGGGGCGTGGGGGCGCTTGGGGTTGGCGATTCAACCTTTTGGAACTAAGTAAAACAAAATTGAAGAAAAATAAGACAATTAGTAAAGAATGATAAAATCGAAAAAAATACTTGGTAGAAAAAAATAAGAGACGTGAGATGAAATAATAACGAATAAGCATAGTGGAATGAAAAATAGGTAAAGTAGAGGACGTAGTTAAAAAATAAAAGGGTTAAATAGCAAATGCTTAGGGTCTGTTTGCAACAGCTTCTGCTTTTAAAAAAGTGCTTTTTTTAATGAAATGGAGAGAAGTGATTAAATAAAAGTTGATAGTGTTTGAGAAAAAAGTGATTTTGAAAAGTAAAAGTGGGTAGTGTTTGGTAAAATAAGTGCTTTTTGTGTAATAGAAAAGGTAAAAGCACTTTTGACGCGGAAGCCGAGAAAAATAAAAGTTGTAGTGTTTGGGAAAATAAGTGCTTTTTTAAAGCCAAAAGCTGAGAAGTGCTTTTTTAGAAGCAGTTGCAAACCAACCTTTAGCGTTTTCCTTGGCGTTTTGTTGGTTAAGATGACGTTGCATCACTAAATGGCGTGTCATGTTTTTATTTGTCTAGCTCTTGTGTGTACCAAAACGTTCCGCAAGGTGCATCCACCGTAAAATTTTCCAAAGAAAAATGACATGTAATACGGAGTACTCCGTATCATTTTTATTTTTACCCGCAATAGAAGGGAAAATTAGTAATAACCGACAACTAATTATGCAGTACTTGGTAAAGGGATAATCTCGTCAAAGGGATAATCTTTGTAACAGTACTTATAAATACCATATTACTTTTTTGGTAAAGGGATAATCTCGTCATAGGATACAACCAAAAACAAAGACTTTTTATTAGCTAATCATGTCAAAGGAGGAATACAACTGTTAACACACATGTCCTCATAGTATTACAGAATTACAAAACAATGCCATCGGCCGTACACATTTCATTTATTCATCAGAATCCCAAAGAACTCCGGTCCATCGACGGCGGCGGATCTAATCGCTGTCGCTGCTGCTGCTGTCGCCGCCGTGCTCGTGCCCGTGCCCAGACTTCTTCTCCTTCTTCTTCTTCTTGTCTTTCTTGTCCTTGCCCTGTTTCTCGGCTTTCTCGCCGCCTTCGCCGTGGATCTTGTCCTTGATCTTGTCGACGATCCCTTTGTCGTTGTGCCCCGCCTCGCCGGAGTGGTGGGCATCCGCCGGCTTGCCGTGGGAGTTCGTCTCCCCTCCGCCGTGGATCTTGTCCTTGATCTTCTCGACGAGTCCTTTGTCTTTGTGCCCCGCTTCCGCCGACTTCTCGCCGTCCTTGTGGGCTTCCGTCGGCTTGCCGTGTTGAATCATATCCCCGATCTTCTGAACGAGTCCTGCCATTTCTTTTCTGGATATCTTTCTAAGATAAAGATATATTGGGAAGGTATGGATTGGGTACTGGTATACCTATTTTTGATTAATTATTTATAGAAGATGGGTCCGCGGAAATGTATAGACCAAATGACGTGCTTGCCCTCTTTACGTGGACGGTCCGTGTCACTTCACCTTCTATCCATACCACCGACCATTTTGGATCTCTTTTCCCAACTCCTATTTTTAGAATTTTTTTTAAAAAAAAACTATTTTTAGCTAGTCAACTTTATCAATTATTTTCAATACTATTTTCGTCCTTTTTTACTTATTAAGTAAACTAGCGTTTACTTGCGCAAAGCGCGAGAGTATTTGTCTAATATTAAAATAATATTTTTTTCTATAAACAATGGTTACATGTGAAATTATTATGAGATTTTTGTAAATAGTTAATGAAGTATCCTATGTACGAAGTATTTTAAAAATTGTCAGATCAATTATATATCCCAACCAATTATTGTGTGGAAAATATGTGTATGTGAGTTTTAAAGTATGTGATTATGCGATTTGGCTGTATTTTTTTGTTTTAACATATAGAGGTCGTTTGACAACACTGTTTTTCGGCTTATCAGGCTTATCAACCAACTTTTTCACCAAACACGCAAGTTTTGCTTTCACGCACTGAATTGTGTGATAAACAGAAAAAGTAAGGTTGGAGTTACTTTCTGGTTGTATTGGCTAAAGTTACTGTAGATGACCATTTTATCTATTTTTATATACAATCATATATTTTTTTCTTTATTTTATTAATAAAATATATTTAAAAATTAATTTTTCCTTAAATCAGCCAATCCAGCCACTTCAGCCAAACCTTCATTAATTTCAGCAGAATCCGCCAAATAAACTGATTTTCATACTACCAAACGGGCTCATAATCTCGTCCCAAAAAGACTTGGTTAAGTTTGACTTGCACATAAAATAATAACTTTGTGATTGAAATTTGTGCAGTGAAGAGATAATAAATAATTTTAGCCACATATTTGTCGATTTAAATGAAAACGAGGGAGTATGAAATCAGTGGCGGACCCAGAAAAATGCAGTCACGGGGTCCCTAAACTAATATAATTTTAATTAATACTAAGTATAAAATTAATAAAAAATAAAATATTAAATATGTCGATCGGTCTGTTCTGGTATGCGTTAGGGCTAGGGTTACAAATGAATCAGATCGAATTGAATATTGAATTATATTATTCGTATTTGTATAATTTGACGAATATTCGTATACATATATTCGTTTAGTATTTGAATCATAAATTCACAATGTATTCGATCATTACACATATTCGAATATATTCGGTTTTTATTCGAATATTCAAAATCGAATGTTTTAAATGCCGATTTTTGACCAATTCAAATTATGATGTATCCTACCTTATTTTTTCCAGACATATGTTTACTAAAATGAATATTGAAACTTAATAAACTAGAGAAGTAGAGAGAGGGTATGGTTTGATTAATATTACCTTTTTTAATTATTTAATTTAAATTATTATATACATAGTGTAATATATATAGTTCGTATACTTCGAATATAATAAAATAATATAGAAATTGAGTTTATGTATACTAGTTACTTCACCCGTGCGTTGCACGGGAGTGAAATACCTATATAATACGGAACAGTTTATATGGAAATAAAATAAATTGATAGTGAACTGGTTAACTTAAAATATTAAATAAAATTCGAAGTAAGATGTTACTATAATAGCAAATCAATAAATAAATAGAAGAAACTTTCAAGGAAACTATAAATTATTATAAACTTCTTTGTATGCAACACTCAACTCAAATAAACTTGTTACTCTCGAGACGTTGGTCATGTACATGTGTGCATTCATAAAAAGGGTCGGGGCCACTGAGGACGATGCTGAGCTTTTCCAACGATTGATCCTCACTTATTCTATTAATGATCAACCAAGCATTCCAGCTCAGCTGATTGTGAGGTTACCGTGCCTAGTGAGAGGTCTCGAGTTCGAAACTCGCGAGGCACATAAGGGTTTGAAACCCAATGGAGTGAGTTTCAACCCTGATTACTCCAACCCCCCTCAGGCCCCCTCCCCTAGACCCCCCTGGAGTAAAAAAAATCTATTAATGATCATTGCATAGCTAACCATTAATGAAATTAGTGCTTATTCACTTATGGATATAATTACCTGGGTCTGATCTGCCACTTCCCAGACTTTATAATTAGCCTATTAATGATCATATACTGTTTCAATCATTCTACAGGTTTTATGTTGACTCACCCCAAGTCCAACTCATTTAACGATTTGCTAATATAAATATATGCCAAATGCTCATTTTATCATTAAATATACACATACATGGATTTTGAGAATATTGCTTAGGTTTGGTGCGTTTAAGAGATGTGACTATTTTCCTTTCCTCCACCTCTGGTTTTGGATCCTCTAATCCTTTGTTTGGCTCATCCCCAACTTCTCTCGTAAAAAATTTCCAACCCCCATTTTACGAAATAATGTGATCATCCATTTATATAAGCTTTTTATATGATAGAATTCTAGTCTTTTAGTAATGTTAAATTTCACTTTGGTAGGTTAATTTAAGTTTTATTTTTTTGTGAATATGATTGATTTTTATTAGGTTTTTAAATTTTATAGTAGTATATAGTTACATTATATCCAAGATATAAAATTGTACATATTCCTCATATCACTTTTTAAGGAAGTTTAGTTCTAAGCATAAGAAATGTTATGTCACTGGCTCACTGCCAATCGAACCACCGGTAAAAAATTAAAGCCCAAAGTCAAAACCATATTATACAAAATAAAAGTATACCAAAAACACATAACTATCAATTTTGCAGAATAGATAATCACAAAATCTTGGCAATTTTGGAGAAACTTAAAATATCTATACCAAAGACCGTTATCATGATCTGATTTTAATTTTACTTTATTATGATTTCATGAGATTGTATGATCCTTTTTAGTTCCTTTTAATTAGCAATTTTATTACTCCCTCCGTTCTTTTTTATTAGTCCTTCTTTCCTTTTTGGGACGTTTTTTTTTGTTTGTCTCCTTTCCCTTTAAGGAAAGTTTTTGAGAAAATACCCCCATTTTTATTACTTTTACCTCACTTACTTTTTACAAACTACTTTCTCTTTCCTACTTTACCATCACTTTACTCTTCTTAATACACTCTCTTTCCTACTTTATCATCATTTTACTCTTTTTAATATACCATCTTTCCTACTTTATCATTTACCCTACACACTCTATACTTACCCTACTTCTTTATTATTAAATCCCGTGCCAAACCCTAAGGGGACAATATTAAAGAACGGAGGTAGTAGTTTCTTTGTAATAAGATTAAATTGTTTTTGTTCTTTTCATTAGCAATTGTACTTCCTTCGTAAATTAGCAATTTTATTGGTAATCCTTTTTATAATCTTCTATATATGCATAAGAATTGTATATATGCACAAGAATCGTGAAAAGAGATCAATAAAAATCAACCTGCTCTAAATATTTGATATAGATAACAAAACTTATTAAACTAAGAAACCTTTGGGTAGCACTTGATAAAAATGAATCGCTACTTCAAAATGTTCTACTCCGTATTTATCATTCATGGTATCAGGTTGTGAATCAGGAGGTGATTCACATAATTCCAAAATACTTCGGTTCTATCAAATAGAATATCATCTGTTATTCCTCATTTCCTCATCACCATAGTCATCAGATTTCTCCAAGAAATTTTAAATTAAAAATTATTCAATTACATACTTTTTGTTCATTAACAAACTGAATAAGTGTTTGGAAGTCAGATCTTGGAAAATGCTAAAAAATGGGTAAATGAAAGTTAATTACTCGCGTTTGATTTCATTTTCAATGGTTCAAAGGAGAGAGAATTTTAATATTACACAACTTTAAATGGTTTAAATACATATTTTTTAATATCTTAATCTTTTTTTGAAAGTTTAAATATCTTAATCTTTGGTTTTTAGATAATTGAAAGAATTAAAGAAAATGAGTATGGTCCAATCTTCTATTCTTCTCCCAATTCTCTTTTATAAATAGATCCACAGACACTAAACTGGCAAATAAACCCTTCAATCACTAACAATTGAAAAAAAGTGACAGTGCCCATTGGTCAAATGCCCAACTGGTGGAGCATCTGAATCTATGGGCGTGCCTTCCACACGTGCCTCTACATTAGAAGCATGTAACAAATCCTCAGAATTGGTGTCACTAATTGCATATGTAAAGCTGCCAAAGCTAAGTTGCAGGAAGCTTGCAGCATGAACTTGTAGTTGCTGTGGAATGACTACAGAAGGTCTGTCCCTTTAAGATGACATACCTTGCTTTTCTGCCTCCTCCACAATGAGTTGTTGGATGTTGGCAGCAACTATGAAACATAAGTATCATGTAAAAATATGATGTTAGAACATCACGACAATGCCTTCCCATTTTATAAAATATAAGGATACATTTGAATCACAGAAAATTCTATAGAAAGGGAGAAATGTTGAATGGCATGAAGTTAATTTATTATGTTTGACTTTACCTTTGAAAATCTAAAGGAAAACGGCATATGATTCACTTGTTTCCATATTTTAGAATTCGTTGTTTGCACCTCCAGCAACTTCCTATTATGAAGAAAGTCGGGTACCACGGGATTGTCACCATCAATGCCATTGTCTTCTTTCGGAACCTAATGTAATTGTGGGTGATATCGGTTTCTTCTGTTCTCTCTATCAGATAAATCCAGATGCAGCTGTGAAGTAAGAGGATCATAGATAGAATAACTTCTAGCAGCAGGTGTTGTCTGCTCAGTTAGAGGCCAGTCATCACATTGAGCCCCAGATGAAGACCTTGGAGCAGATGTTGACTGACATTGACTGGTTGTCGTGATTCACTACTTGGAACATGTGGCGCTTTATAGCTTACCCATCTTAAACAATATCCAACATTAACATTTTTCATGGAAGACTTACCCAAGCAGATTGGTATCCAGATGAATGTTGTGGATCTACCGGAAGATCATCAGGTGACATACCAACCAACTCATTGGTTTCAGTGTCAACAACATCACTGTAACCCATACATAGAAGCATTAAGAAGATTAAAAACTGAAAAAACTGCAAAAAGTTTAAGTACTAATGCTGCATAGGATG